GTTTGTAAATAGGATCACAAGTCCGCATCTTGTACAGCAATTAACCACTAAGAAGAATATATGCAGTGTATTATTTGTTGAAAAATTAAAAAAAAAACAATGGGCAATTAAAATGAATGAATACTTCTCAAAAGAAATATAAATGGTCAGTGAATATATGGGAAAAATGTTTGACATATTGGTCATGAGAAAAATGTGAATTCAAACAACAGTGAGACTCCATCTTACCCCAGAAAGAATGGCTGTCATCAAGAAATCAAGTAATAAATGCTGGTGAGGCTGTGGGGGGAGAGGAACCCTTCGACACTGTTGGCAGGAATGTAAGCTAGCAAAACCGCTATGGAAATCCCTCGAAAAACTAAAACTAGAAATTTCACTCCACCCAGATATTCTCCTTTTAGGTGTTCTCCAAAGAGCTAAAGACATCACATTACAATGATATATACACATTTAGGCTTACAGATGCACAATTCGAAATAGCTAAATCTTGGAAGCAGCCTATATTTCCATCAAAAAGTTGAACAAAGAAAATGTAGTATAAAATACTATGGAATACTACTTAGCCATAAAAATGATAATTTTGAGTCATTTGTAGGAAAATGAGTGCACTTGAGATTACAGTGCTTCTGGCCTGGTTCTCTGCTGCTCATACAAGGCCTCCGGGGTATGCCAAGAATGCAAGGTTCTACTCTGTCCAGACCATTTTTCAAGTTCTGCTTCCAGGAAGCAACATTGAGGGAAGAAATAATACAATCCCTCTGGGACAAAGGGCAGCTCTGCTTCCAAACTGCTAGGAAGTATCTCACTACCAGGGCCCGTGCTCCCCTCCTGTTGGGTGTTCTACTACTTGGCTCAGCACACAGCCAGGCTTGCATCACCTTGTGGCAACTGGGGTTCACGAACTGATAGAACCAGGTTGCAGTGCTGGCAGCAGCTTTTGCTGTGGGTAGAATGAGTCTTTTGTCTCTGACTTCTGCAACCATGTACAAAGCTGTAGCATGCTCACTCAGCTTGTAAGTAGGGGAAATCTCAGGCCCTTCAGAGCTTTTGACAAACAAGAAAAGCAAGGCTTTTAAGAAAGTTTAATATTATGATGTAAGCAATATGTTTTAACCACAGTGAATGGTACCTAGTACATCTTTGCCCACCATTAGCTATTTAGTGCTCTTACAAAAAGTATTAGGAAGGAATAAAAACTAGGGGTTGACATTTAATGAATCCCCTTTACTAAGAACCATAAAACTTCAAGAGGCTATTAAATTTCCTTCAACTAGACACTAACTAGTAATGTTCTGTTGCAGACAGCCAAATTAGATCGAAATATTACATGCAGTCACACAGGGCCAGGCTCTGGAAGGAGATAACACAGAAGACAAGCTACCTTACAACTGTGGGAGGGACAGACGCTCCTGCTATGAGCCAGACCTAAAGACCAAAGATCAAACAATGCTGACCTCCCTAAAGATAAACATCCAGAATTGATCTTCACCCTGAGGAAGCCAGGAAGAATCCTCATTTGATGGCTACCAGATAAAGTCCTGTTTTACATTCATGTCTGCTTACTACGTGACTCCCTTCCCCATTTGGTCCTGGGCTTAATCAATTTTACCTGAGCAATGGTGCATGTAATTTCACTGGTTAACCATAGTTTTGTCCCACTTCATGCCCACCTAAGTGAGTTCCCATGTCTTCTCCACCACCTTAGACTTGCCACACCATGTGGTTTTCCTCTATAAAAGTCCCTGGAAGAGACTGCTTCCTGGGGACAACCTGCTTGGGCCCCACTCCTGTCCCAGACGGGAGCTTTCTTTTTCTTAATAAATATGTTCTGCTTATAACCTTCATTTGTTCCTAAAATTCATTCTTCAGTGTTAGAGAACATGAACTCATCCATGTCAGGTCAGGAGATCATTTTTCCCCTACATCATTTGGAGGTTCCCTGTATCATTTGGAGGTCACCCACCTGAGATCAGTTTTTCTCCCTATATCAGTTCTACCACTGCACAAGCGTAACACAGGCTGGAGGAACTCACAGCCTAAAGTGCCCTGGGCTGAAACCCACTCACCAGACTCTACATACCAGTTCTTTTGCCTCTTCAAGCTGTTTCTCCACATTCGCAACCATTTGTTTCTTCTCATCTGAAACAAACAATATCAAGGAATTGCTAAGGACACAAATCAATTTAATATTTCTAAACTTCAATTTTTAAATATACTTTCCTTTTCTGATCAGTAGCTTAGAGAATATAAGGCAAAATGAGCATATCATTCTTTGGTAGCTTAGAAACTACATTAAGCCACTAAACCCAGGGTATCTAGAAATACATAATCCTATGCAGTATCTGATTGTAAAGAGATACATTCTAAGACAGACTAAAAATGATTTTGTTTTTAGGAGAGACTATTTCAACAATGGTGGATTTAAGGGTGGTCTTGGGAATCTGCAGTTATAACTAACAAACTGGAAATAACTGATTTTCAAATATAATTTTAATCATACAGAAAAACACTTCTTAGTGAGGCAAGGTCTTAACAATCCTGTAAAAATTATATTTTCAGGAACATTAAGAATAAGATATAACAAAAGAAATATTTGAGGACTAAATTACTGATTTTGAACCCAAAGCCACAACCTTACTCACCACATTTAGGAAGAAAGATAAGCTAGATGGGCACAGTCAGTTTCAAGTTCTAAAGAACTGAAACAGGTTTTACTTGACTTTGCCATACTTTGGTTTCTTGTCCCAATAGATTTCTTTTCCTACACAATGGTCTAGAAAAGCAAAAGTTTAAAGTGGGCACATCTACTAGTTGATAAATTCTTTAGAATCAATCCTAAATGGGAATCTTTAACAGGAATTATTATTCCACTAGATTAACACTAGATTCTGTTCTCCCAAATCTCTTCCTTTTTTTTTTTTTTTTTGCCAGAACCGGGGATTGAACTCAGCCCTTGAGCTTGCCAGGGAAGTGCTTATTCCACTGACCCATCTCTCTGGCCCCATAAAGTTCAGAAGGATTTTTTTTTTTTTTTTTTTTTGGCTGGCTCAGGATGCCTTAAGGGCAGGTTGGGTAGGTAAGGCAGGAGGATCTGGGGACCAAACCATAGCATCCTAAGCCTGCTTTGCTTATGCAGCCACTTAAACAACTGAACTAATGGGCAGGCCCCCAAGTTAACGGGCAGGCTCCCTCCTTCCCTTTTTAACCTCTAAACTGTGAGGAGTAGGGGAGCTGACATGCAGTGTTTGGTGTATATTCTAAATTAATACAAATTCCAGACACACATTTGGAATAGAATCAATTTTCCCCTTCAAATACACATTTGGAGTACCTTGAATTTTCCCCTCCATGAATAAGGGCAGACTGAAATCTTAATTTATGACTCCAAATGTGTTGGCTCTGACACATCTTAATCTCTCCAAAATCTCCACACAGTTATAGACTGTATTTTGTGATAGAATACAAAACAAGACTACCTATCTTGAATGAGAGTGAAATTTTATGTTTACATATCAGAAGGTACATCTTGTTTTCTTTAAGGCATCTCATTGTTAGAAAAGCCAGATTGTTATAGACTTCCAGGACCAGTACGCATCATTGATTCTCTCATTAAGAAGACAAACAAAAAGGCCTCCTTTGACTTGTACCCCCCTTTGCTAACATCTCTCCCCTTCAGCCACAGCCTATCTTCTTGAAAATAAAGGTAGCCTGTTTCCCTTCCTGGTCTCCCCTTACACTCCCTGTCATCTAGCTCCTACCCCAACCATTCCACAGAAGGGATTTTAACTTGGACTGGTAACCACTCCTTTATGCAAACTAACAGACTTTCTTGGGTTCTATTTTTATTCATTCTCAGGGACTTCTAATCATATTCCAGCTTTCCCCTCTCTTGGCTTCCAGATCACCCTGATTTTGTGGTTTCTGCCTTACTATCCTCTGTTGGGCCTCCTCTTTTTCAGCCCTCTTTTAATTACTCGTGTTCCTTGGCATTTAGTCCTTGCTTTTCTCCTTTTATCATTTTTAAACCAACTCATTATGTGTTCATGACCCTAAATCTTTTTTTTTAAATTTACAAATGTTTTAATGACACGCTCTTTTTAAACTAGGCAAAACATACATACATACATACATACGTACATACATACAAACGCACACATACATAAAAACAACAGCTTCAAACTTCTTCCAAGTGCACTGCTATCAGTGGAAAAAGCAGGTTATCTCTAGCCTGTTGACAGTCGAAAGTCTATATATTCAGAACTCTTCAGCAAGAAAAAATGCAATAGACACCCATTCTAGCAGCTGGTATCTTCTTCCAAATGAAAGGGAAAAAATGAAAAAGGGTAAGAGCATGACTAGCAAAGCTGTCAGGTAATATTTTCTCAATTCAATAAATCTTTATCTCTAACCATGACATCCATCCACTACTCCTCACCTCTAATTCCAACACAGACACACATTTACACTGTGAAAACCTGGCAAATTGCTACTTGAAACTCTTCAAAAATCATCACCTCTTTGAAGTCTTTCCTAACTCAACAAGAGTTCAATCACTTTCTCTTACACAAAATACCTGTAATTTTACCTAAACAATGATTTAGCTCTCACAGTAACAAGTATATTTAGCCTTTCAGTTTGGCAGACACACATCTTAAAAGATCTTTATAGTCCTAAAAATGCAGCAATAATCATGTCATACATAATCAGAACTCAAAATAATGATGGTGAATTGAATAAACAATGCAGGAGAGTACAAGCGTTTGCCAAAGAGGCTGCCACCCATCACTCACTCAGATTTCCCAATCTCCATGTCTACCCTGCCCCATTTATTCTTCCTGGGTCCTCGTAGTCAACATCCTCCAAGATTCAGACCTGAGCCACCTGTCAACTTTATTTCCAGTAAGTCCTCTAGGATGTAATCTGCATATTAACTAGGCATCCTATTCCTATTGATGACTACTTAAACAAATGTATTTTCTTTTGTAAAACTTCTAAACTAACATTTAGGGTTCTTTGGATGAATACAACATACAACAGAATTTGTTCTGCCTAACTTAAGCCAAGAAAGAGATCTTTTTAGAATACATTGGATGACCTGCAGAGACCACTGGATACATTGGGAAATCTGAATGAGTGATGGGTGGCAGTTCTCTTTTGTGAACACTTGTACTGTCCTGCATTATTTATTCAATTCACCATCATTATTTTGAGTTCTGATTATGTATGACATGATTAATGCTGCAATTTTAGAACTATAAAGATCTTTTAAAATGTGTGTCTCCCAAGCTGAAAGGCTAATCACATCTATCTACCTCCGTATTTACCACCAAAAGCTGTACATAGAAGGGGCTCACTAAGTGCTTCCTTAAAATAAGAATCAATCTTAGCACTAAAAACCATATTTGCTACTCACAGAAAAATGGAGAAAGAGAAATTTCATCAGTGATGACAGAGGCAAATCTTGCCACTTCAGAAGTTACCTTTTTTGAAGGAATCCATTGAGATTGGGGCAGAGTAATACAAGTCTATTATTTTCTCATAAACCATTTCATAATGGCTGCCAGAAATGATGGAACTGAGATGATCTTTGATGCTCTACAGTGTTCCTTAGAGATGTAAGAAAAGATGACCTGAAATCATAGGGGAGCAACATGCAGGTGGGAAGATGAGGAAATGGACTGAATAGGTGACCTTGGAAATACCTAACAAAGCTAAGATCTGCTAAGCTCCAGGCAGTATTCGTGGGTAAGTCCCAAGACCATACTGGCCCTTTCACAGAGGGCACACACCCAAAAACTGGACTTTCATAGCAGCACCATGAATGTCCATGGTGCTCCATATTTAAATTATCATAGTCCACCCTTAAAAAAATTATTGAAGGAATGATTACTGTTTCACTCTCAGGTAGTAAACAGATTCACATTAATTCAGAAATTAAATAACTTCTCCAAAGTGCAATAGCTAATAAATGTAATTTCAACAGGATTTGTTTTCCTGAAGTGAGCACTCATCATCTATGTATACTACATAAGCAAGTTATTTTTGCATACAGGCTCAACAAATTTCAATATAAATATAAAATGCAGTCTAGTACGATCTCTTTTTCCTATTCAATACCAACTAATGTACTTAGTGCTGACATACACATAACTATTTGCATAGCATGGTTCTCAGTATTTATAGAAGGGCTCTTAAGAAAGCACAGCGAGTACCAGGGCTCACTTGAATTCTGGTACTTGTCTTTGTGCAATATTTTTAAGTAAAAGTAGTGACAAGTTTTAAATAAAAGTAGCAGGTAAGAATAAACACCAAGGAATGTAAAATGAAACCCCTATAACAAAGAAAGATTTTATGTTAGAGAATTTTAAAATGAATATATTGATGTTGTAGTATATAAAATGGTACAGGATGGTCAAAGTTAAAGCCATTCTGAAACTATCCATATGATGTTGGACTACAGTTTGAGATACCAGTCATTTACTCACATTTACCTTACATTATGGTTTGGGGTTTTCGCAAGGCAAGTGATACAGTGCAGGACACATCTTAAATGACTCACCCAGGAGTCATACACAATAAATGCAGGAAATCTGTCCACACACTAAATACTAAAGAATCCAGCTGAGGGCCTGGATCCTAATATCCTGCATAAGTCCAGATGAAAACCTAGAGCTCATCACAATGCCTCTCACAAGTCCAGCTGGAGGCCTAGAGCCCACAACAAAGTCTCATGCAGGCCTGCTTCCTGGATCTGTGTTAGCAAGGCACAGAGGTCAGGGGTGGTAGCTAGAAAGTTCATGCCATCAGGATGAAGGATCTGTGCCAGCAGGCCGGGGGATCTGAACTGCAGCTAGGAAGCAACGCTCAAGGTAAGCACCAGAGCTCCCCTAAAAGTACCACAGACGGCCTTAGCAACAGTGAGGCTCCTGAGCTCCCCGAGCGATGAAGAAAGCTGATTTCCCATCAGGAAAGCCAATGTGACGAGCTTCTCCAAGAGGCTGAGCAGTGCACCATCTTCCCCTCTGGAGCCAGGAAGCGATGCTCAAGATGGGAACCAAAGCTCCTCCAAAGTTCCCTGGGAAAGCCAGCATGACAAGGTCCTCTAGCAGAACAACCCAAAAGAAGAAGCCTCCAACAGC